AGGAATTTGGACTGGAAAAAATGGAGCTACCTGAGTTGGAATTTGGTAGGCTTGGTGCAGCTTACTCTGACAGGAAGAGAATGCATTAATGTGGTATTTTATGACCGCACATGTTCTCTGCCGATGGGTTAGGACAGGACTCCAGCAAAAAGGTGACCATCTTTAGACCATTTCTGCTTCTTTGTTTCTTTGTTAATTGTAGGTCACACTTAACTTTTAATACCTGTTCACATTAAGATTCACTTTCATCATTAAAAAAAAAAACCCTCAAATTTGTAACAATACTCATAAAACTAACAAGGCCCCCAAAGAAAAAAACATGCTCACAAATCTGAGAATTTCTTATAATATCTTAACTTTAGATACAAGTTTCATTTTATTTAACTTAAATTCTGTTGACTTAAGATCACATGGAGTAAAAGCTTACTGAATAAGTAAGGAATAAATATTATTTGTTAGGTGAAAGACAGGGTAATGAACACTTTTATAAAATTTATACTCTAATTTAGAATGGAAATGTTAGTAACTGGGCAGTGATTCTGTGTGAAACAAGATTTAAGGAGTGAAACAAGATTTGAGGAGTAATAGCTCTTTATTGAGCTATGTTCTATATGTTCAGAAGCCAATCAAAATGAAATCATACATTAATTAGGCTTGCTCTTTAAATGTCACTTTGTATTAACAGAATTTACCTTGGTGGTATATAAATTCATATCACAAGTGCAATATTTCTATATATTTAACCACACTTTCCCTCTACGGTGATTACTAATACTACATTTAAAGTGGTCTTAAATAACTGGTTGAAGAAGGCAAGACATTATAATCAGGTTTTAAAAACAGTTTTTTGAAACAGTGAATTACTTAGTAAAATAAATTGCTGCATAACTTGTCTGTACCTTTCAAGTCAGCGAAAGATACTTAGGACTTATCTTGCCTCTAAAAATTATTAGGTTTGGTGGCCGGCCAAATAAATATTCAGGAAGGGGCTTCCCTGCTGGCGCAGTGGTTGAGAGTCCACCTGCTGATGCAGGAGACACAGGTTCGTGCCCCGGTCTGGGTAGATCCCACATGCTGCGGAGCAGCTAGGCCCGTGAGCCATGGACGCTGAGCCTGCGTGTCCGGAGCCTGTGCTCCGCAAGGGGAGAGGCCACAACACTGAGAGGCCCGCGTACCGCAAAAAAAAAAAAAAAAAAAAAATTCAGGAAATATTTTCTTTATGTCATATGTCATTTTGGTCAGGAAGGAAAAGTATTAGCTGACTTTTTTGTATCAGTTTACATTTGATATAATATTGCAGTATTCTTTTTATTAAGTTGATAGCACCTTCAGTAACTTTGAGATTTCTTTGATACTTTGTCAGCTCAATTCTGTTGCTACTGTTTTAAAACTTTTCATTTTGACCCAGATTTTTATTACCAGTTCTAGGTGTAATTTAATACATACCATACCTAAAGTACCTAAGGTATGCTAATGTACATGTTACTAGTGTTTGGGGGAAAACCACTCTGATTTGTCAGGTACCTTTTCACACTTTGCTTTTGAAAGTGCTAGCTTTGTTGTTAGAATTTTTAGGATACTTTCAAGTTAAAGACTTACTGAATTTTATATCAACAAATAACCATGAATTAGGTATTTCATGGTCACCAAAATTTTCTTTCTGCCCTTTTCATGTCTTATGTTACATTTTACAGCAAATAAAACTACAAAAGTTTACAGCTGCTGAAATTTTCTTCCTGCACTTTTATTCATCATAATGAGACCTTTGTGTATATATCCCCTCATTACAAATTCTGTGAATTAAAGGTCAATGTCAGTTGAATGAAAGGGAGTCGGAATTCATGCAGGGAAAATTTAAGTGATTATCTCAAGCTCTTAATACCATTAAAACTTTTTTTTACAAATAAATGTTTCTATTTTATTAACTATATATTCAAGGCAGAATTACAAATGAATAGTTCTGGCCCAAAATAGGACTTCATAAATGTTAGAAAAATAAATGAAATCATCGAAATGAAGGTAAAATGTATGTCTTTACAATGACAACCTCTATAAACATAAGTGAATGTGCTGGCTTGTTTCTTGAATTCATCCCAACTGTGTAGAAACTTATGCCTTTAACATGTTCCTGTGCCTAAAGAGTATCTGTAATTTCTTATCCAGGTTAAGACTGCTGTGCTTTGTCATTTGGCAGAATGCCAAGCATCCACATGCTGACTGTTGCTTCTGGCCATTAACTGCTAGTTGCTAATGAGCTATTTGAATACTTGCTTATGGTTTCCTCAAAACAAACAGACAAAAAAAGAAAAAAGAAGAAAAAAAATGTCCTCTTCAATTCCCCATTGACATTCTCCCCCGTAGAAATCTGGTTTGACCATGCTGGTAGCAATGTCACTGTTTTGCCACCAGGGAAACTCAGTACTGTCATGGATGCTAGCAAATGCAAATGAACAGATTCAGAACAGTTTTCTTTTTTCCTTCATACGTCAGAAACCACCTTTTTGACATTGATAGCTAATGCTAGGTATTTGCCAAAGCAAAAACAAACAGAAAGTCCAAACAACTACATAACTAATAAAAGGACCTGCTTTTCCTGATTTCTTTCAGCATCCTACACAGA